AACTGTTTTTTATCCTGAAGAGGTCAGCGTCTGCCTGACAAAACGTTGATTATGAAACTAGTTTTTTGTATATGAGAATAGTGACAGATCGAGTTTTAATAAAATGACACGAATCGTGTCAATACATTTGTATTTTGATTTGTGTCGACTTGAGTTTGAACTTGTCTGTGGGGTTCCCCTTGGACTGCCGGTTAAAAAACTTTACAATTGAATAATTATAAGACGTTTTTTTTTCCCTGAAATTTTTCGTCTCAATGCTTCATCTCTGTATAGAAACTCGCAAAGTTTAAAAACGTAGTTTTTCATGCTCGAATTTCATGAAAAAAATTTTACATCACGTTTTTAAACTTAACGATTTTCTATATTAAGGGGACACACCTGTGTTTATGCCTATAAATGAAAAACATGAAAATTAAGGATCACTATTAAAATTTTTTGTTTCTGATGTGAAAATATGTTTTTATAGGTCCTTTTACAACAAAAAATATGTCTGTAGTCTCTCTTATTATAGAAAATCATCCATCAAACATGTATATTGACTTGTGATTTCCAAGTCATTGACCGCATGATTTTGAATTCTACTTTTCACCAATCCGGATCTTTGCTGTCTCAAAAGTTTTGTACAGTCGACCCCCGCTATTCGCGGTTAATTGGTTCTAAAAAAGTACCGCGAATAGCGAATCCGCGAATACCGGGGCCCATTTTACATTATTTTATATGGACAAACAAGAGTATCGTACCATGTCATATCATTTTGTACCAAATTTATTGTTTTTAAATATTATAAAAGACAATAAAGTTCACTTTTTTACAAAAAAATCGGATAGACGGGATTGCTTAGCTCTTCTCATATAATCTTTCTGCAGTTCACGGTAAGTTGACATCGCTACTTCGCATTGATGCTTGAATAACATACTACGCGTTAATATAGGTAAAATGTCAAAGCTTGTTCCTGTATCACAGCGCCACTTAATGGTATTTTCTTTCGGATTAAATCTTGTATCCACACAATCAAAAGATTTTCCATTTTCACTATATTCTCTTGACGATTAACTTTGGCATGTTTCATTTGAGAGCCCAAAATCGATGCAGCATCCCGAATATTCTTTTCATTTTTATAAATGTAACGAATAGTCGATTCGTTAACATCAAATCTTCGCGCCAGAGCACACACTTTTTCGCCGCTATTTAAAAGTTCTAAAATTTTAAGTTTAGTTGATATGTCCATAATTTTTTTACTTCTTTTAACTATTCCCTTAGAATTTGTTTTTTTATTATTATTAGATTTATTTGCTGGAGCCATGATGAAAATTTCAACGAGAAAAAAAACACAAGTTCGATTACAATATGAAGATGGTTACATAAAATCGCGAATATACGGGGTCCAAATCCGCGAATGACGGAGGATACCCTCATTTGTTGAATCGCGAATATGCGGGGATCGCGAATAGCGAATCCGCGAATAGCGGGGGTCAACTGTAATAAAATTCTTTTCCACTTAAGTGTAGCAGATTTTTGTTTTAGTTATTTTTTTGATCTACTAATCTCCAAATATAGCAATAAGCGTTATTAAAATAGCTCTTTTTGTCATTTTTTTTGTACTTTACAGTGAAAAAAATTTTCCAAGCCTTTTATTAAAATTTTGTTACACTTAAGTGGAAAAGAATTTCATTACAAAACTTTTGAGACAGCAAAGATCCGGATTGGTGAAAAGTAGAATTCAAAATCATGCGGTCAATGACTTGGAAATCACAAGTCAATATACATGTTTGATGGATGATTTTCTATAATAAGAGAAACTACAGACATATTTTTTGTTGTAAAAGGACCTATAAAAACATATTTTTACATCAGAAACGAAAAATTTTAATAGTAATCCTTAATTTTCATGTTTTTCATTTATAGGCATAAACACAGGTGTATCCCCTTGAAATAAAAGCCAAAAAATTTTCAGAATTTTTTGAGAACTTTTTAAAAAAAAGTCTTCCATAATTTTCGGCTTTTTGAGTTGCAACACGTGTCAACTCTTACCGTTTGGACTAAAATCCGTATTTTTTTTTCATTTTTTACGCCCTAAGAACCAGAATCACCCCAGATATAGGTGTACTGCAGCTATGTATTTCTTATTGTTTGACTTGTTTGAGGTCGGGCCAATTAACGTTTTTTGGCGTAATTTTTTTGATATCCGAAAATTGGATTTTTGTTCCTATAGACATTTCTTTCAACTTTGGGTTTTAGATCTTTTGACACTGGACTGTTAATTCTAGACCTTTTGTCTTCCAAACAGTTGGAATGGACCTTCATGAATTTTCTTAGATATTTCAAGACTAAAACCACTACAGATCGGTATTAATCAAAAGTAGACGGTCACATTGATTTTACCCAGGTGAAAATATGACCCGAGATCTCACAAGAGAACTTACATGAGATCTCATATGAGATCTCACATGGGAACTCACGTACGATATTCAACAGATGAAATCTCATGTGAGATCTCAAGTAAGTTTAAAACTTCGATAGGGTATATTCCTGCTTAAAGAAAATCAACTAGTAAATCAATTTAATTTTACAAAATTTTATATAATTGGAAATTAAGTTTTATAGATTAATTTCAATTAAATTAACCTTTAGATAGGACGGATTTATTAAGGAATGGTAGGAATTTTTGATTCATCAATATAAATATTCATATTTTCATATAAAAATCAATTTTTATTTCAATTTTTTTATACATTTATATTTTTCCATTAGACTGTAAAAAGTAATGATATTATTTTCTACAAACCAAACATAAAATCAACCTCAAATTAAGCATACAATCAATATTAACTACTTACATTACAATAAAGTACAGCTAATTAATTAAAAAAGATGAGAAGTCTGTAATTAATTTTATTTATTTGTACGTACAAGTAGTTAAAGTTGATCTGATACTTAGCTCGAGGTTAAGAAAGTGGCCAATGGCCCAAAAAACAAAATGAAATCTTATAGAACAAAAATTGACTAAGGCGAACACTTGAAATCTGATGCCAGTTAGATTGTTAAAGTTACAAATGTCACATCGACAAAGGTCTTCAGTCTTATATTAATATAATGAAGTGATTTTATATATGTAACTAGACATGACCCTTTCCTATACTGAAAACCTTCATTTTAGGACACCTGTAATATGCTTAACACTTATTAATAGAATTTCACACTGTACAAACTTCAAAACCTGCATCTTTTTACATAGCCAGCTTCAAAATTTCTTATCTGATGACACTTGACAGATATAATGCAAAGTTAACCAAAACATGGATGCAGTGCCTGAAACAAAAATTATGACACAAAGTATACATTTCTTGACAAGTACATATGTATGTATGTATGTATGTATGTAATATAATAGTTTTATTAGAGATGAGGTTGTTTTGTTTATGAAATACGTTACTTATCTAATAAAGTTTTTGAAAAATCCAACAGCAATTCTGCTTCTGCTGCTACTGCTGCAGCTCGAATAGAGACTAGTCTACACTGATTGTCGTGCAGAAGAAGCAGCAGCAGAAGCAGTCGACTGTTAGAGCGAGTGAGACAGACAGAGACACTTCGGCACTGCGTGCATCGACCGCCGCAAGTGATTTTCGTGTCTGAAGTGCAGCAGCAACAACGTAGCAGCAGAGCAGAATTGCTGTTGGATTTTTCAAAAACTTTATTAGATAAGTAACGTATTTCATAAACAAAATAACCTCATCTCTAATAAAACTATTATATTACACACATACATACATACATATGTACTTGTCAAGAAATGTATACTTTGTGTCATAATTTTTGTTTCAGGCACTGCATCCATGTTTTGGTTAACTTTGCATTATATCTGTCAAGTGTCATCAGATAAGAAATTTTGAAGCTGGCTATGTAAAAAGATGCAGGTTTTGAAGTTTGTACAGTGTGAAATTCTATTAATAAGTGTTTAGCATATTACAGGTGTCCTAAAATGAAGGTTTTCAGTATAGGAAAGGGTCATGTCTAGTTACATATATAAAATCACTTCATTATATTAATATAAGACTGAAGACCTTTGTCGATGTGACCTTTGTAACTTGAACAATCTAACTGGCATCAGATTTCAAGTGTTCGCCTTAGTCAATTTTTGTTCTATAAGATTTCATTTTGTTTGATGGGCCATTGGCCACTTTCTTAACCTCGAGCTAAGTATCAGATCAACTTTAACTACTTGTACGTGCAAATAAATAAAATTAATTACAGACTTCTCATCTTTTTTAATTAATTAGCTGTACTTTATTGTAATGTAAGTAGTTAATATTGATTGTATGCTTAATTTGAGGTTGATTTTATGTTTGGTTTGTAGAAAATAATATCATTACTTTTTACAGTCTAATGGAAAAATATAAATGCATAAAAAAATTGAAATAAAAATTGATTTTTATATGAAAATATGAATATTTATATTGATGAATCGAAAATTCCTACCATTCCTTAATAAATCCGTCCTAACTAAAGGTTAATTTAATTGAAATTAATCTATAAAACTTAATTTCCAATTATATAAAATTTTGTAAAATTAAATTGATTTACCAGTTGATTTTCTTTAAGCAGGAATATACCCTATCGAAGTTTTAAACTTACTTGAGATCTCATGTAAGTTCTCATATGAAATCTCGGGTCATATTCTCACCTGGGTAGCGCTTATAAGCGACCTTGGGGTTTAGAACCTCGGCTTTGATGCTTTTTCTATGTACCATAACATACCTAAAACGCGTCGAAATGAGTGACATATGTGCGCAAACTTTTGCAAAATAAGTATAATTTTATCCCGTATATATTAAAAATGATATGCAACATCGCATTATAATGAGAAATCATTGTAAATTTGTCATCTAATATCTTTTATATCATATCGAAGCTATTTGAAGGAGAGGGGGAAGCAAAATATCTGTCATAAGAATACGCTCGAACATATAGTATATAAAATGGGGTGATTTTTATATTTTCAGGTTAATAATGCTACAGCTCGAGTTCAAACTAAAAAAGCAACAGGGCTTCCCAACGGTTAGTATATTATGATATTTTTTTTAAACGTATGGTTACAAAAAATTAGTAAAACTTATTATTATTATTATGAACACAGTGTGCTTGAAGAGCATATAAGTTTGCCAAAAATACTTCCAAATTCTGTAGTAAGTGTTCGAAAGTATGTAAACCACTGAATATGAAACCGTTCGAACGAAAATCCTAGCTAGTAACTCTAATGAAATGTCCCCTTAAACTGCATCAAACCATTATTGCCGTTATTTGATATTGCTGTTTTTTGTCAATTAAAATTGATAAAAAGGCCTGCATTTGCCGTCGAATGCTGATTTAAAAATTATCCATCTCTATAAATGTTAAATTTTTTTCATCTGAACGAAAAACATCCATTAGTGACAACGTTATGTTGTACAATGTCACGTTGTCGTAGATGAAAAGTCCTGAGAAGGACGAATGCCAAGCTAGGCTGATGGTCAGAGTGGTCAAGGGATGACCGTTTGCTGACTCACGTTCTGATGACGAGGATCTTAGAAAGAGACTACGTTAAAAGACTTTTGTGTGGCCCTGAAAAGGACCGATTGTCTGTTGTAGTCGCCTAGAAGCGCCTTCTCCGCTCTCGTCTCAGCTCTGCTTCTCTTCTAGCCGAGGGCCTCTTGGAGGGTGAGGAACGAGAGTTGCGAGGAAAGCGTGGCTCAGATTTTGGCTTAGGAGCACGTTTAGCCGGGCAAAGCGAGATAGCTGGCCTTGGTAGTTTGTGTAGTTGCGGATGAGAGGCAACGTATTCGTCAAGAGCGTTGGCGGATCGTGACGTTCTGTCCTGAGTCGTCTTCTTCGCTACCGACACTTCCCACAGTGGCGGTCGGACCGGTGGTACCGTGACCCTGGTCAGTTGGTGTTGTCGCTGGCACGTTTGCTCGTCAGACGACCGTGACTCAGTGACAGTCGGGGGAGTGCGGTTAGCAGATGCTGTGGATTGAAGTGGCGCGGCCGTGAGATCGACCACTGGCTCAGGGTCGACTTCTCTTCTTGCTACAGTCCTCTTCCACAGTTGTGGGCAAGGCACTGGCAGAGGGGGATAAGGCCACGTGTGCAGCAATGCGCACGAGCGGCTGGTGTAGGTGGTCCCGGGCAATGAAATCAGACTACAGATGTTCTTGACTTCTTCAATGGCTCGTTGACGAGTCTTGACGATATTTTCGCCGGCCGGCACAGCCCGTACAACGCAGCGTTGTTCCAAGATGCCTGACACGAGAGGGTGGCCTCGTTGTAGAACTACGGCCCTTCCTCTCTTTTTTCTTTGGATTGGCGCCGTGATCGATTTCCCTCTTCGGGTCGAGACAATCGGAGGCGACAAAAAGACTCGAGTACGAGTCCAACTACTTTATTGAATGAAGTCCCTAGGTCGCAACTCTCAAGAGCTCGTCGCCGCGAGCGCGAGGACGAGAGTCGATGTGCTCTGGCTGGCAGCCGAGAGACGACTTCATATTGCGTGGCCGGGCACCTCGCTTATATAGGAGGCGAGTGCGCGCTGATTGGCCATCGGCGCAAAGGTGGGGACGAGTGCTGCTGTGTACGTCGCAAGAGTGGGGACGCACGCAGCCGTGCACGTCGCTCGAGGGGGACGCACGCAGTGGTGTGGCAATGCGTATGAGGGTAACAGTTAATTGTTGGATTCGTGCTTTCAGACATTTCATGCAGGGTAAAAGCCTTCGGAAAAAATATTCAGTAAGTACACAAAATGACAGTAATAATAAAACAAACTTATGAAAATATGAAATGAATAAAAGCTTGAAAGTCGACTCAAGCAAGAGTACAACAATTCGTAGCTGCGATGGGCATATTTAAGACGATCAATGATACAAGGCTGGTGCAAAAACCGTCGATTCAAATTTTCAAAAGATTTTTCAATTCTCGATATTCATGGGTCATGGGAAACCAATTTTAAACATAAATCTTGCTTTCGTTGGTCGGTCGAGGCAGGCGCAACCAAAGTCGCTGCCAACATGGGCATATTTTATGACAGCCATGGCACGCGGATGGTGCAAAGACCGACGATTCAATTTTTGGAAATGTTGTTCAATTCTCGATATCCATGGGTCATGGAAAAGAGATTTGAATCAAAAAATTTGCTCTCATCGGTCGATCGAAGCTGGCGCGAAAGATGTCGTTGCCGTTGTAGCCTCTCACCGCGATGAGCTTGAGCTCGTCCACAAGGATGGCTTTGACTTCGCTGACAGGACTTTCGTGTCTGAGGGCCCGGGCTCAAAGACTCGAATAGGTCCTTGTTACCGACGTAGCCTCTCGCGTCGACGAGGTCCAGCTTGTCCTCGAGGAAACCTTTGTCATCGCCGATGGAGCCTTTAACGTCAATCGCTCAAAACAAGACCAAGACGGTAACGAGGTCATCCACGCAAGCTACGATCGACCGTCGAGAGGAAATTTTTTCTTTTAAATCTCATTTCCATCACCCATGGATATCGGGAATTGAACAACATTTTGAAAAATTGAATCGACGGTCTTTGTACCATCCGCGTGCCATCGCTGTCATAAAATATGCCCATGTTGGCAACGACTTTGGTTGCGCCTGCCTCGACCGACCAACGAGAGCAAGATTTATGTTTAAAATTGGTTTCCCATGACCCATGAATATCGAGAATTGAAAAACCTTTTGAAAATTCGAATCGACGGTTTTTGCACCAGCCTTGTATCATTGATCGTCTTAAATATCCCCATCGCAGTTACGAATTGTTGTACTCTTGCTTGAGTCGACTTTCAAGCTTTTATTCATAAGTTTTATTTACATAAGTTTGTTTTATTATTACTGTCATTTTGTGTACTTATTGAATATTTTTTCGACGGCTTTTACCCTGCATGAAATGGCTGAAAGCACGAATCCAGCAATTAACGTTGTCACTAATGGATGTTTTTCGTTCAGAAAAAAAATTTAACATTTATAGAGATGGATAATTTTTGAATCAGCATTCGACGGGAAATTCAGGTTTTTTTATAAATTTTAATTGACTCTATTTAATTATTTCATAATTCCAAAGCCAAAAAGCATGTGGCGGGGAAGTGGCTCATTGTTGGCCGGCGTTGCTAAGGACGTTTTGCGCTGCACGCTGTAGCGTAAAAATTAACTTTTCAAGACACTGAAAATAAATTATTTTGGAGAAGCAATGATAGTTTTCATTAATATTTTTTGCGCAAACACCGTCGAAAAAAATTAGCTTTCTAAAAAAAATTTTTTTAATCCTTTTTCGAAATTTTTTTTTTCACATGTAACTTTCATCGATTATTTATTGAAAATTTTGCTTTTTATCGCTTATATCAGTGTAATTTCATAAACTTTATACGATTCCCTTTAATTTGATGTGAATAACATATAGTCAATAATGTCTCTAACTATTTTTTATTTGATCGGAAAATGTGTCTGCTTTATTGTGGACATACTATATTAAGTGGCTAGAATTGTATGATGCACCCGTGCCTCTGTTAATCGACATAGTGACGACCTCTGCGCGTTCCTGCGAGCCGTGATCCTCAATTCTTCGTGATGATTTTAAGTGCTTTTAAATTGACTTATTGAAAAATATATATAGTAAAGTACTATATGGGAGGGTCTAACAATGTCACCTAACGTAATAATTAATGCCATTATTATTACTAGTTAGTAGAAAGAGACGTCGCTCGTGGCACTGCACAACAGCATCGGGAAATCACTCTGAAGTCTCGCCGCATTATAGTTCATCTATAACATGTTTCATATTTATTATAGACATTATTGCATAATTTTGCGTACTCTGACTTAAATTCGTTTGTTTATCTGAATTTGGACAGTGAGCCAATAGAGCTGGAGTGTTGTACTTTTTTACATGTGTTCAGGACACGAAAAAGTACAAGTGCAAGGGCTTTCCAGGTGCTTGGACTTGATGTAGTATATATTGAATCATTAGCCGCTAATAAAGGGGGTTATTACATGTAAATAATAGTGAAAGAAGACAGAAGTTTTTCGTCTTTCAAAGACGTTTTTAACCATGTAACTTTATATAGCGTTTTTTAAATTTTTACTGAAGCTTCAATATAAAACGTCGAACCTTTTGTGTCACGCTCGAAACTACATTTCTTATTAGTTTTTTAGTTTCTTAAGAATTACGCATGCTAGACAAACTTGAACCTCAATGATAGTTATATGGCCTTAAAGAATACAAAATTACCTTTAATTTGGTATATTTGAAAACTCTCAAACTCCTCTAGAACTGGAGATATAGCTGTTTAAAGTTTTACTGAAAATTCAAGATTCAATTCTGTGATGATCATACCATATCTGGTCTATGATAAATTCACAGACTTAGCGCTAAATTTAGTACTACGCGCGATACAAAAGGTTCGACGTTTTATAATGTAGCTTCAGTAAAAATTAAAAAACGCTATGTAAAGTTACACGGTTGAAAACGTCTTTGAAAGACGAAAAACTCGTTCGTCTTAATAGCAGCAAAATTACGCAACGTATAGCTGTACAAAGATAGAAAAAGAACAATAAAAATTAATTTAATGTCATTTTTCAACCTTCCTATAACTATATCTTTACTTCTAAGGCACCTATAGGGCTAAAATTTTACAGAGACTTCTGTTAACATGTAAAACAAGCCCTGAAACTTTCAGCCCAATCGGTTAATCCGGCGCAGAGAAATTTGGTAAAGAGTTCATACTGAGGCATAAATATATTGTTTTTACGAATTTCAAACTTCAGGCTACATGCACCACCTGAAGACATCATTTGTTCGCACCCAGCTCGCGGCTTTTCTCTTTTTTCATCATAAACTTTCAATAAATTGCTATTACAAAGCCATCGGCGTCAAAAGTGTTTTGTCGTTCTGCCCTAATATAAACACCCCTCTTTCAGAAAATAAAGATAGATACCTAATACATTTGTGTTAGGACTGAGGTTGTTGCCGTAACCATTGATGTTCTAAATAAGTGTACGTGACCTTGGTGCTGCAACTCAATCAGTACACTCTGAT